CGAGACCCCTCCCAGGCCTGCGGGTTCTGGGGCGCGGCGCCGGGCGTCATCAGGCAGCGCCGGAAGTGCCCTCGCGCTGCCTAGGAGACAGGACGCGGGGCCCACAGCTGCCACGGCCGGCCGCGCCCACCCGGTCACCATGGAGCTTCCTCCAGGGTCCTGGGACGATGACTCGGACCCGGAGCCGGAGCCCGATCCGGATGCGCAGGCCGAGGCCTACGTGGCCCGCGTGCTCAGTCCGCCGAAAGCCGGGCCGGCGCCTCCGCGCGTCTCGCTGCTGCCCACGCCCGCCCCGTCCCCGGGTGCCTTGGAGCCCCGAGCCGGGGCTAAAGTCCCCGCCGTCGGGGTGCCAGGCCTGCTGAACCTGCCTCCGGAACTGCTGCTCGAGATCTGCGCCTACCTGGACGCGCGCCTCGTGCTCCACGTCCTGCCGCGCGTGTGCCACGCGCTGCGCGACCTCGTGCGCGACCATGTCACCTGGAAGCTCCGCGCACAGCGCCGCGTGCGCGCGCCCTACCCGGTGGTGGAAGGTGCGCGCTCCCGGGTGTGGGGCCGAGAGCCGGGCTTCCAGTGAGGCTGTCCTGACTATGGTGGATGGCCAGGGGAAGGGGAGGTGGCCCGGGTACACGGTCCTAAGGTGGCTGGAATACAGAAAGGGCACCACGTGCGAGGTCCCGGAACTGAGTGGTCCTCGGGTTCCAACTGTGGAGGGGCTAGGCGAGGTTGACCTTGGCATTCAAAGGAAAAACACACTTGCCCCTCACAGGAGGAAACCCAAGAATGGCAAACTCTGAGTGTAGCCTGCAGTAACCGGTGAGGCTTGTTTAGGTGGTGAGATATGTCAGCCCCAGCCACCACAGACCCTGAAGCCCTGGGTCTCTTCGGATGTACCCCCCTAGTGTCCACCACGAGGCCCATGGGTCCCTGGGGTGCAGCGGGGAGAGGTTTAGTGCTAGGCCCGTTGGAGGTGGGGGTGGTATCGGGTGCATGAGCTCGAGGCTGGAGCCTGGAGTAGGAACTGAGTGGAGAGAGGGTCCCCAGAGCCATGGGGTGGCACCTCTGCTCATGGTATGTCCACAGAGGAAGACTTTGACTGGCCAGCGGCCTGCATTGAGCTGGAGCAGCACCTGGCACGTTGGGCAGAGGACGGGCGCCGGGCCGAGTATTTCTGCCTGGCCGATGGGCACTTTGCTTCCATTGACTCAGTGTTGCTGCTACAGGTGAGACAGGGCCGGGCAGCTGGTGGAGGGCAGCAGGACGGTAGAGGATGGTGGAGGACGGCGTAGTGGGTAGTGGCTAGTGGGCTGGTTGGGAATCGGGGGCCAGCTAAGGCAGTGGACTGGTGGAGGATGGTGGGCCAGCTAGGGGAGTGGGCCAGTGGCGAATGGGGGAGCCGGTGGAAGATGGGGTGGGCCAGTGGAGGGCAGTGGGCTGGTGGGGGCTGGTGGGCTGGTGAGGGGTGGGGGGCTGGTGGAGGGCCGGTGGAGGGCAGGTGGAGGGCAGTGGGCCGGTGTAGGATGGGGGTCTGGCTAGGGCAGTGGGCTGGTACGAGATGAGGGCCTGGCTAGGGCAGTGTGCCAGTGGAGGGCAGCGGGACGGTGGAGGACGGTGGGCTGGTGGACTGGTGGGCAGGCGGCAGGCCAGTGGAGTGCAGAGGATCGGCAGGCAGGCAGGTGCAGGGTGGCAGGCCAGCAGAGGGCAGCCTCAGACCACACCCTCTCCCTCTTTGCCCAGGGTGGGACCCTCTGCCTGTCAGGCTCCCGGGATCGCAACGTGAACCTGTGGGACCTGCGGCAGTTGGGGGCAGAGCCCAGCCGGGTGCTGGTCAAGGCCTTGGGGACCCAGCACAACAGCACCCACAAGGTGAGCGGCCCGGTGGCTTGTGGAAGGCGGGAGACATGCAGAGAGGGTTGTGGCTCAGGGCCTCTGCATCCTGGAACCTTGGGGGTTTCCTTGGAGAGAGGGCGTGTGGCTGCTGGGGTCCGTTTCCCCTTCTTTACAGTGGGGTTGAACGAGGTGAATTACCCATCAATATGGGCTTGCATGTGATACACCAAGGCCTTGGCACCCAGTAGTGCCAGCACCCTAAAGGGGTGCCAGTCCCCAATCCAGCTCCTTGGAAGTAGTTCTGAGAAAGAAGCAGAAGATGGCTCCCATGCCCATGTGGGAGATCTGGAAGAAACTCCTGGCACCTGACCCTCTGAGCTATCACCTGCCCCTTCCCAGGGTGCAACGGGCAGGAAGCTGTGGGTGGAGGAGTGGGCACCAGGACCCGGGCTGTGACCCTGGATGTGGGCACCACAGGCAGTGGAATATTAACCACCGTGCCAAACACCCTACCCCCCCCCAAAATTGAACTCTGAATAGTTTTTTTTTAAAATATGCGTTTCCCCCAAAAAAAAAATCTAAAAAAAAAAAGAGATTGATTTGAAAATTAGAATGGATGAGTTAGGTCTTCCGGCTGTTGGCTCATTTCCCAGATGGCATCGCATTGGGCTCCCCCATGGGTGGCAGGGGACTCAAGCACTGGGACCAGGGGCACTAGCAGGAAGCTGGCCTGGAAGTGCACCTGCCGGGACTTGAACCATCCGACATGGTGATTCTGCCTGCTATACCACAGTGTGGAGCAGTTCACTGTATCCTGAGTACCCTAACAGGTCCAGCGTAGGGCCTTTACAGGGCTTCCATTGGGGATCAGCCAGCCCCCTACGCAGGGCGAGAGGGGGCCCCCGTCCCCAGTGCAGGCCGTGGGGACCTGTACAGAGCTGACGGACCCACTCTGAGGCTCTTCAGCCGAGCCCAGCCACCCCGACGCTGGGCTGGAGACCCCTGTGTGTGACCCACTGTGGCCCACCCTGCAGGGCTGGGTGTGGTCGCTGGCTGCACAAGACCACCGCGTGTGCTCGGGCTCCTGGGACAGCACGGTGAAACTGTGGGACATGGCGGCCGACGGGCAGCAGTTCGGCGAGATCAAGTGTGAGGGGGTCTCCTGGGAAGGGGGTTCCAGGCCAGCCGCTGGCCCAGCCCCATCCTCACCCCCTTCTTCTGTGGTCCCCGTGTATGTGTGTGTGTTGTCTGTCCCCAGGGGCAAGGCCGCTGTGTTGTGTCTCTCCTACCGGCCTGACATCCTAGTGACCGGTACCTATGACAAGAAAGTGACCATCTACGACCCCAGAGGTGGACCTGGGGCCTGGGGGGGGGGGAGCAGCGGGGGGTCCCTAGAGATCAGGCTAAGGAAGGAGTGGAAGAGGGGAGCGGTTGGTCATCCATCCAGAGCCAGACCCCTCCTGGGCTGTGCTGGGGGCAGAGGAAGCCAGGCCACTTGATGGGCAGCCCTGGAGGGGCGGGGCTGGCGGGCAGGGCCGAGGGCTTGACGGGCAGCTCTGGGCTAGGGGTTGAGACCACAACACGGCGAGAGGTTGTCTTGTGGTGGGTGGGTGGGTTGGGGAATGAGACAGGAGGGACGAGACGGGGTCCGGGATCCCTCCGGGCCACGGTGTTGTTGGTGTTGGTGCGGGGCTCTGATGGGCCTCCTCCTCCACGCAGCCGGCCCGGCCCTGCTCAAAAGCCGGCGGCTGCACTCGAGCGCGGTGCTGGCACTGCTGGCCGATGACCACCACATCATCTCGGGCAGCGAGGATCACACCCTGGTGGTATTCGACCGTCGTGCCAATAGCGTGCTGCAGCGGCTGCAGGTGGAGACTCATGCCCCCCGCCGGGGCGGGCTGGGGGGGGTCTCCGGGGGGCGGGGGTGTGGTGGTGGTGGCTGTGTGCGGGCCCTGCCTGAACCCCTCTGTCTTTCCCCCCAACCCCCAGCTGGACTCATACCTGCTCTGCATGTCCTACCAGCAGCCCCAGCTCTGGGCCGGCGACAACCAGGGCTTGCTGCACGTCTTTGCCAACCGCCATGGCTGCTTCCAGCTCGTTCGGGTCTGCCTGGGCGCAGGGCGGGAGTGGGGAACCCTTCCCCTGGGTCCAGAATTCTCCACCGAGCCTCACCGGAACCTTCCCCCCCCCCCCCCCCAGTCCTTCGACGTGGGCCACAAGTCACAGATAACGGGGATCAAGCACTCGCTGGGTACCCTATATACCACATCCACCGACAAGACCATCCGGGTGAGGCTGCAGTCGCCACCCTCCCCGGGCAGCCCCCTTCCCCCCCCCCCCCCGCAGCGGGCACGGTTCCTGACCTCGACGCCCGACCCCTCTCCTTCCCCGCGCCCAGGTGCACGTGCCCACGGACCCACCCAGGACCATCTGCACCCGAAGCCACCACAACGTGCTCAATGGGGTAAGCCCTTTCCTGGCAGCGCTCGGGCACGCCCCACCAAGCCCTGTGCACAACCCCTGACCGCCTCACCCCGCCACCCCTACAGTGCTGGACCCCTAAACCTTGGAGCCCTGCCCTATATATCAAGACCCCCCTTCCCACCCACGCCAGCACTTCGGGCCCGTCCCTGACTTCCTCGCCCCTCGCCCCCAGATCTGCGCAGAGGGCAACCTCGTGGTGGCTGCCTCCGGGGGTCTGTCTCTGGAGGTGTGGCGGTTGCAGGCCTGACCAGAGGGCACGGCCCTGGACTTGGACTGACACGGACACTGCCCGTGGGTGTTGGGCTGCCAGGACCCAGCCTGTTTCCCTGGGGTCCCGTCGCCCATGATGTCCACCCCAATCTCCCTACCCCATGTTGGTGCTGCTTCTGCCCCCTTCCCGACCGCCCCCCCCTTGGCACGGGTCTGGGGGCACAAAGGATCCGGAGCTGAGGTGGGGGAGGTGAAGGGGGAGGTATCCCCTGGCGTGTGCACACGGCAAAGCAGAAATAAAGTGGGTTTATGGTGCGCATGCGTGTGCAGTGGTTGGACCTGGAGGGCTGGGAGTTCCGGACCCCCGTGTGCATGGGGCACCCCACCCTGCAGCCTAGTGCAGCCAGTGAGCAGGGTCGAGCCTTTACTTCATGTTTATTGAGACCCCTGTCCCTTCTCGCCTGGGTGTGGGGGGTGGGTCACAGGATGGCACAGGGAGTCTTTTCCTTGAAGGGGTTGGTGGCGGCCAGGATGCCCACGAGGAAGGGGTCACTCTTGGCCTGGTCTGTGCAGAATTGCAACAGGTCGGCAGCCGCCTTGGACACCTGCAGAGCCAGGTCCGTCCGGGTCAGCGACACCCTGTCCCCCTCCCGCCCCCCCGGGGAAGAGGGTGAGGTGGGAGACGCGCCTGCACTGCCCCCCCCATCCCCTCCCCTTCACCTTCACACGGTCAATGCCGGCCTCCATCCTTAGCTGCTCCACGGCCCGACGGGCCTGGCCGATGTCACTCCCGATGGCCATCTTGCTGGACATCTGGGGGTGGGGTGGGAGGAGCAGCAGGCAGGGCTGTGAGCTGGGGTGGTATGGCTCCAGGTCCCACCTGGGCACCCCCTCCCCAGTCCCCCTGGGTCACGCTTACCTTGGCTGAGGGCTTGATCCCAGGTCCCCACCTGCCCGTCCCAGTCCCTTTGGCCCCGTTGACCTTGGCTGAGGACTCCCGGCTGCCTGATCTTCCAGCTTTGGCCACGTGGCTCTGGCTCCCGCCCCCAGCGGCCTGGCCTCTGGGCCCCTCTGCTCGCCCCACCCCCACCCCCCACCAACACCCCATGGTGCGCACACTTTGAAGCCGGGGACTCTGTTGGAAGGAAATGTCAGCAGCAGCTGCCACGGGCAGCAGACAAATCCCGGCCCCCCACTCCCCTGGTGGTGTCACGTGAGCCCCCGGGGCCGTGGGGGAAGAAAGGGGGGACCCTATGGTACCCCTCTGACCTGCTGGGCCCCCCTGCTGGCTGTCCCCAGGAGCTCTTTCTCCACCAGCCGCAGCCCTGGCCCCATGCACGCCTCTGTGCTACCCAGGGCATGGGGTCCAACGTGCTGGGGGGCCCAGCCCTGCCGCCTCCCCCTGAGTACCAGTCTCGCCTCCCTTCGCTCCACACGCAGGGCGCTTGCCCTCCATGAAGCCCTTCTGCAGCACCCTCCCTCCCACCCCCCCCTGCTGGTCAAGTTCACTGCTATGTGCCCAGCTCCAAGCCTGGACCTCCAGCTCTGCTGAGTCCTCCCGCCCCACCCCCACTTCCATCTCAAGCGCCCCTGGGACCAGCCCTGTGGGTCTGGCCACTTGCGTCTCACTTGTCGGTAACTCCTGGCTCCTGCCATCCTTCCTGCCCTGGGCCAGTGCAGTCACCATGTCCTGTCGCTCACGTCCCCAAGATCGGACCTCCTCCTTGGTCGTTCCACTCAAGGCTCAGTAAAAAACGAAAGGGGGTTGAGCTGAATCGAGCCAGCACTGTGGCGTAGCGGGTAAAGCTGCTGTTACCTATGGCACCCGTAGGAGTGCAGGTTCAAGTCCTGGCTGTTGCACTTCCGATTCAGCTCCCTGCCTGTGGCCTGGGAAAGCTTGGGACCCTGCACCTGCGTGGGAGACCCAGACAGGGCTCCTGGCTCCTGGCTTTGGTCTGGCCCAGATTTAAGCTTGTTGTGGTCATTTGGGGAGTGAGCCAGTGGGTGCAAGATGTCTCTCTCTCTCTCCCTCTAACTTCTCAAATAGTCATGTATATATTTAAACTCTCCCGTGTTTTCTCAGCAACCGCTCACGTCCTCTGCCCAGCCACAGGTCAGACAGACCGGGAGCCCAGTGCCCAAGGCCTTGGCAGCTGCTCTCCCAGGGACACATCAGCAGGACACGGAGTAACTGGATGCAGGCAGTCTCAGGCGGCCATCGTGCTGAGGGCTGAGCGGGGGGAGGCCAAGGCCAGGACTCCTGGGCCGACCCCACCGCTCGGGGCCGCAGGTAGACGTGTTGGTGACCATGGCCGGGGGCGCGGAGGAAGATTTTTCATCTGCTGGTTCACTCCCCAAGTGGCTGCAATGGCCAGAGCTGAGCCAATCCAAAGCCAGGAGCCAGGAGCTTCTAGGTTTTCCCATGTAAGTGCAGGGTCCCAAGGCTTGGAGCCATCCTCAACTGCTTTCCCAGTGAGCTGGATGAGAAGCTGGGCTGCTGGGATTAGAACCAGCGCTCATATGGGATTCTGGAGCATGCAAGGGGAGGACTTTAGCCCCTAGGCTACTGCACCAGGCCCAGTGTTCATTTCTGTTTTAGAAAATTTTGATTTATTTTGGTCCTAGTGTGATGGCTCAGCGGCTAAATCCTTGCCTTGCAAACACCAGGATCCCATTTAGGTGCCAATTTGTCTCCTGGCTTCTCCATTTCCATCCAACTCCCTGCTTGTGGCCTGGGAAAACAGTGGAGGACGGCCCAAAGCCTTGGGACCCTAGAAATAGCTCCTGGCTCCTGGCTTCAGATCGGCTCAGCTCTGGCCATTGTGGCCACTTGTGGGGGTGAACCAGCAGATAACAGATCTTTCTGTCTCTCCTTCTCTCTGAAAAAATCTTACCTTTTCAATAGGAATAAGTAAATCTTGGATTATATTTGATTATTTTCTGTTTTGTTTTTTTTTTTAATTTTTTTTGAGAAGTATCTATGTGGGAGGACTCAGCTCTCTGGGGACGTGTCCAGGCTGATTCTATGATACTTCCGGTGGGCCTGGCTGCGGTCTCAACTTCCTCTTCCTGTCTGCTGAGGCAGACGGTTGAATTGAGTCAGTGGAACTCAGCCGATCAGGAATTGTGGAGGTCTCCAACTGAGGGGCCAGAACAAGCCCCCTTTCTTGTTAAATGGCTTGTTTTAGCTATTTGGGGGCAGTTATTATTACTGGGAAATAGCAATGAGAGTTCTAGGAAGATGAGGCAGTGGAATTGAGCAAGCTCTATTTTTTTTAAAGATTTCTTTTATTTTTATCGGAAAGGCAGATAAACAGAGAGGAGGAGACACAGAGAGGAAGATCTTCCATCCGATGGTTCACTCCCCGAGTGAGCGCAACAGCCCGTGCTATGCTGGTCCAAAGCCAGGAGCCAGGAGCCTCTTCCGGTTCTCCCACGCGGATGCAGGGACCCAAGGCTTTGGGCCATCCTTGACTGCTTTCCTAGGCCACAAGCAGGGAGCTGGCTGGGAAGTGGAGCAGCTGGGATTCGAACCGGTGGCCATATGGGAATGTTAGCACTTGGGACCCTGCACCCACATGGGAGACCCAGAAGAATTTCCTGGCTTCTGGCTTTGGATGGGTTCAGCTCTGGCCTCTTGGGGAGTGAACCAGCAGATGGAAGATCTTTCTGTCTCTCCTCTCTGTATAATCTGCCTTTCAAATAAAAATAAATACATCTTTTTTTTTTTTTTTTAAAAAAGCAGCTTCTGGGACTAGGCAAGGTCCTTATCCACTTGTAAGGGGACTGACTGCCCTTTCTCTCACTGCTACGGGGGCTAGACCCACCTGCCTGGTAGCCTGTCTAACCGGTTCCCTAAGGACAAGCTCACACACAAAGCAAAGACCACACTTACTTGTGCCCATCCCATAGCTGGCATAGTCCCATGCCATCCCAGAAGTGGGTCCTGCTCTGGGCTGGCGAAGAGGCCCCTTGAAATTAATTCCTCTGGGTCCTTATTTGGTCGCCTGCTCTGTTCTGCTCTCCAGATCCACCACTTACGAGCTGCTCCAAGTCTTTCTTTGGACAGGCCAGGACCGTCAAGGGCTCGGCGTGGTCCCCGGGGTGGGGGTGGGGGGGCGCTGCTTGAGGCTCTGCATCAGACCCGGGCTGGACCACACCTGCTGCTGCTGACTCCTGAGCTTGGCTCCACGGCCGCACCCAAGTGGAAGGGGTAGGCTTGGGCTGGACAGGGAGACGCGCAGAGGACACCAAGGGCCCAGGAGCATGTCCCACGCGTGGGAGCACATCTCTGATGAAGCTAGGGCATGGCCTGGGGTCAGCCATGGAGGACAATTGCATCCTGGTCACAGCTCAGCCTGCGATCTATACTACACACAGACTCTTAAAACTATAAAACTAAAACTAAAACTAAAAAAGGGTGCTTACCTTTAGTTATTCCATCAAGAGTGAGCTAGAGAGAGAGAGAGAGCTAGCGAGAAAGAGAGAGAGAATCTTTCGTGAGTAAGTCTGGACTTTGGTTCCTTATCAGAAAGGTGAACAGTTACCGGACCCGTGGGAACACGTGGTTTCCACAGCGCCCGGATGCGCACAGGGACAGAAGGCCACATCTTCTTTGCATGCTGCATCTGGCCAGCTCCATCCTGCTGGGTCAGTGTCCTGCAGAGCCCTGGGGACACCCAGCCAGGTGAGAACCTTAGGCCTGGGACCTGGCCAGCTCCATCTGGTCGGGTCAGTGGCCTGCAGAGCCCTGGGGACACCCAGCACCCGGTGGGGACACCTCAGGCCTGGGGCCTCGTGGACTCAGCCCCTCCGGGGTCAGTGGCCTGCAGAGCCCTGGGGACACCCAGCACCCGGTGGGGACACCCGAGGGCTCGGGCCCCGTGGACTCAGCCCCTCCGGGGTCAGTGGCCTGCAGAGCCCTGGGGACACCCAGCCAGGTGGGAAGTTGAGACCCGGGGTCGGTGGACTCAGTCCCTCCGGGGTCAGTGCCCTGCAGAGCCCTGGGGACACCCAGCACCTGGTGGGGACACCTCAGGCCTGGGGCCTCGTGGACTCAGTCCCTCTGGGGTCAGTGCCCTGCTGCAGAGCCGAGGGGACACCCAACCAGGTGAGAAGCTGAGGCCCCGGCCTCTCTCTCTGGGTCAGTGTCCTGCAGAGCCCTGGGGACACCCAGCACCCGGTGGGGACGCCCGAGGCCTCGGGCCCCGTGGACTCGGTCCCTCCGGGGTCAGTGCCCTGCAGAGGCGAGGGGACACCCAGCACCCAGTGGGGACACCTCAGGCCTGGGGCCCCGTGGACTCAGTCCCTCCGGGGTCAGTGTCCTGCACCCAGCACCCTAGGCCCCCCTCCCTCGGAGTCCCGCCTTCCGGCGACGCCGATTGGCCCAGCCGTCCCGGGGCCGGAATGGCTCCGCCCCTCCCCGCAGAGCCCCGCCTTCCGACGACGCCGATTGGCCCAGCCTGCCCGGGGGCGGGGCGTCGCCTCAGCCGGGCGGAACCCGGGCCTCCTGGGGCGGCGGGCGGCGGGGTCCTCGGCCATGGCCGCTGCTGCCATGCGGATCCGGATGGTCCGGGGCGCCCACCCGCTGCCCTTCCTGTTCCTGCTGTTGGTGGCGGCGCCGGGGACTCGGGCCTCCGGCTATGAGGTGAGAGACGGGCTCCCTGCCGGCCTTTGAAAGCGAAAGGCGGCGGCGGCGGTGGAGTCCCGGGGAGAGTCTGAGGAAAGGGGCCGGGGGTCGGCTGCGAACCCGGGGCTGCCCGAGGGGCTGCTGCTCGAGCCTGCTTGCCTGTCAGGGAGCCCGGGATCTGCCGCCTGGGGTCGCCCGGGACGTCCGATCTCAACTTTGCAAAGCCCTGTGAGAGCTGTGTATGGGGGTGGGGAGCTGAGCAGGGGCAGCAGGGACTGTGGACCCCCAGACCGGTGTCCCCCCCCACTTCCTGTGGGGCCACCTTGTGCAAGACAACTTCCCCTCTGGGTGCCCCCAGGACCCTGATCTGAACACTTGGGGTTCCCTGGCCTCAGCCTGGAAGGGCAGCTGTGTGCAAGGCTGGCAGAGCTCACGTCTCCTGCTGGGGTGACTTCCCCAGGGCTGAGTGAGAGCTGTCCCGTGGGTGTGTGGGGTACGGGCAGTGTGGGTGAGCACCGCTCTGTGTGCGTGTGTGTGTGTGCATGTGTGTGTGCGTGTGTGTGTGTGTGTGTGTGTGTCCTGCCTGGGACGGGCCCCGGCACCCTCACCCCAGCCCAGCGTCAGTCACCGTGTGTGCGTGCGTGTGTGTGTGTGTGTGTGTGTGTGCCTGTGTCCTGCCTGGGACGGCCCCAGCACCCTCACCCCAGCCCAGCATCAGTCACCGTGTGTGTGTGCGTGTGTGTGTGTGTGTGTGTGTGTCTGCCTGGGATGGCCCCGCACCCTCACCCCAGCCCAGCATCAGTCACCGTGTGTGTGTGTGTGTGTGTGTGTGTGTGTGTGTGCTGTGCTCAACCCCACCCCAGTCCTCCCCTTCACTCTGGGCTCACTGACAGGGATGTGTGTGTGTGTGTGTGTGTGTGTGTGTGTGTGTGTGTTTGGGGGTCCGTGTGCAGACCTGCCCCGAGGTGAAGCCGGACATGCTGAACGTCCACCTGGTGTCGCACACGCACGATGATGTGGGCTGGCTCAAGACAGTGGACCAGTACTACTACGGGGGTACGTGGAGCGTGAGACGGCTTCCTTGCGTGCCCTGGACGTCAGGGTGGGTGGATGGGTGGGAGGGGGTGCTGCCAGCATGGGCTCCCTGAGTACCCGAGACCCCTGACCCCTGTGTCCGCAGTTTACAATGGCGTCCAGCACGCTGGGGTGGAGTACATCCTGGACTCGGTGATCTCCGGCCTGCAGGCAGAGCCCAGCCGCAGGTTCGTCTACGTGGAGATGGCCTTCTTCTCCCGCTGGTGGCACCGGCAGACCAACGCCACGCAGCAAGCCGTGCGGGAGCTGGTGCACCAGGGTGAGGCTGTCCCCTCCCCCTCCAGGACGTGGAAAGAGGAAGGGCAATTCTGCTTGTCCTCCTGTAACCCTGGCCTCAAGAGTCCTCACGCTGTGTGCAAACTGTTCACGCTTCAGCTGCTCCTGTGTGCACGGGCTGATCTGGGCACGCCTGTGTGCCCACGTGTACAGGGCGCTCCTCGGGGCAGCTCTCCTGCTGGACACAAGGGCCTGGGGCTGAACAATTTCTCCTTGCAGAACTGAGTGGAGAAGCACCGCTCTCGCTCCCAGCCCCCTCTCGCCCTGGCCCCACACCCAGCCCTTGACCCTGAGCCTGTCCCTTCCTGCACAGGGCGCTTGGAGTTTGCCAACGGTGGCTGGGTGATGAACGACGAGGCGGCTGCCCACTATGGTGCCATCGTGGACCAGATGACCCTGGGGCTGCGCTTCCTGCAGGACACGTTTGGGGACGACGGGCGCCCCCGTGTGGCCTGGCACATCGACCCCTTTGGCCACTCCAGGGAGCAGGCGTCCCTGTTTGCTCAGGTGCCCTGTGGACCTATTTGGAACCCACTCCTGCGCTTGTCTTGACCGCCCCCTCTTTCACCTTCCACCTTTCCAAATCACCTCGCTAGGACCAGGAGTTGATCTGATGAACTGCCCCCCCTGTTGGCTGGCCGTGAGCACACCCCATCCCAACCAAGACAGAGTTTTTTTAATCCTTTTTTTTTTTCTTGAAAGGCAGGGTTTGAGGGAGAGAAACTAGAGTGGGAGAGTGATGGAGATAGTCTGTCCTCCACTGTCTTACTTTGCAGCTGCCCACCATAGCCGAGACTAGGCGCCTAGCTGAAGCCAGGAGGAGCCTGGAGCCTCTTCCGGGTCTCCCGCACAGGTGCAGGGTCCCAAGGCTTTGGGCCGTCCTCCACTGCTTTCCCAGGCCACAAGCAGGGAGCTGGATGGGAAGTGGAGCAGCCGGTACTTGAACTGGTGCCCCTATGGGATGCTGGTGTGGTGGGTGGCGGCTTCCCCTGCCATGCCACAGTGCTGGCCCACCTCCTCCCAGAACCCCCTTCCTAGGACTCTGGTCCCACCCATGACCTGGGGACTCTTACGTCTCCCCAGTTGAGCGGGAGGTAGAGGCCCCGGTTGGTTTACAATTGGCTCCGTGTGCTGAGTCCAGGCCCTAGGAAACCTCGCACTTCCTTTTGGCCTTGGCCTTGCCAGAGTGGCGGTGATGGTTTTTAGCTTTGGATTCCCCTCTGTGCCCTGCCGTCACCTGCTACTCTCTGACCCTTCCCCGAGCTTGGAGGGGACCTTGCTCTCACTGCCTCTCCCCACCTGGGCTCTTCCCGGCCTCCCCGGAGCCGAGAGGGGCTGCGTGATAGGGGGGGCTGGGTCCTCCTTCACGGTAGCCTTTCCCCTCCCTGCCCGTCCCCGATCCACAGATGGGTTTTGACGGCTTCTTCTTGGGGCGTATCGACTACCAAGATAAAGCGGAGCGTCTGAAGCATCAGGAGATGGAGCTGCTGTGGCGGGGCAGTGCCAGCCTGAAGCCCCCGACCACCGACCTCTTCACTGGTGAGGCTGTGGGCTGAGCGGAGGGTCTCCCGGCTCACGGAGGGGTGTGTGTGTGTGTGTGGGGTGGGTTCTGGGCCAGAGTGAATGCTCTGCGATTGGCATCTCCGAACGTGAGCAAGGGGCCTGGCGGGGGTGAGCCCTGAGCAGCTCAGAGCCCATGGGGTGCCTCGTGTGACCCGCAGGTGTGCTGCCCAACAATTACAACCCACCCAAGGATTTGTGCTGGGACGTGCTGTGCGCCGACAAACCCATTGTGGAGGACCCCCAGAGCCCCGAATACAACGCCAAGGAATTGGTCCATTACTTCCTGAGCCTGGCTAATGCCCAGGTAACCCAGTGTCCTGACACCGGACGATAGACAGAACCTTCCCTGATCTTGCCTCTGGCACCTTCTCTTAGCCCTTGGGGACAGGTGCTGTGGTGGGCGTTGGCACCGTGTGTGTGTTCCTGCTTTATGATCTAGCATAGTCCTTTGTCTCGGGGTCTTCAATGTGTAAAAAGAACTCAGAATGTATATTTATCATCATAATCGACTTCCTTGAAATGCAGAATTACAGTGAGAGAGACGAGTTTCCACCTCGTGGTTTACTCCTCAGATAGCCGCAACAGCCAGGGTTGCGCCATGTAGAAGCCAGGAGCCAGCAGCTTCATCTGGATCTCCCACATGTGGGTGTCGGACCCCAAGGACTTGGGTCACCCCATGTAGCTTTTCCAGGGCTTTAGCAGGGGAGCTGGATGGAAAGTGGAATATCCAGGACTTGAACTGGCTTCCAACCGGGATACTGGCGCTGGAGACAATGGCTTCACTTTCTGTACCCATTTGTTATGCCACAGTGTAGGCCCCTAAATATTTTTATTAATCTTCATTTAACTTTTCAAAGCCTTTTGTTGTTGTTGTTGTTGTTGGAAAGGCAGGAGAGAAGGAGAAACAGAAAGATCTTCGATTCACAGGTTTACTCCCCAAACGGGTGCAGTGGCCAGAGCCGAGTTGATTCTAAGCTAGGAGCTAGGAACATGTTTCAAGTCTCCCATATGGGTGCAGGGTCCCAAGGCTTTGGACCATCCTCTACTGCTTTCCCAGGCCATGTATAAACACGAGCTGGCTGGGGAGTGTGGACACGAACCAGTGCCCATATGGGATGCTGGCACTTGCAAGGATTTTTACCACTGAACCATCCCACTGGGCCCTAAATTTTTTTCTTTTTTCTTTTTTAATGCTGCAATGGGCCCAGCATGGTAGCCTGGCAGCTCCAGTCCTCGCCTTGCAGCCCTCTTCCCAGAGAACCACAAGTGCCAGGACAAGGTGGCCTGAGTGTGCCCTTCTTGCCCCCCCAGCACCGGTATTACCGCACCAGCCACACCGTGATGACCATGGGCTCAGACTTCCAGTACGAGAATGCCAACATGTGGTTCAAGAACCTTGACAAGCTCATCCGACTGGTTAATGCAGAGGTCAGTGAGCCCACCCTCTGGGGTTCCTGTGCCCATGCGTGTATCCTTGTGTGCCCGGGATGGGGGGGGGTCCTGGACGCAGCAGCCAGCGACCGCGACCCGAGCGGCTTATGGCAAAAGCCCGATGACTCTGCAGGTCAACGGTGTGGCAAGGGCTTGTTCTGGAATGAGGCCCCGGCAGGGCTGTGCGCCACGGGAGGCTCGGGAGACAGCCTGTGCCCTTTGCCTCTGCCAGCTCTGGGTGCCATCTGCGTCCCCTTCCTTTGTCTTCCACACCAGCCACCCGGCGCCTCGGTGACACGGCTGCTAGAATCACTTGTTTGTGGTCATCTCTTTTGTCTCCAACTTCCAGCGTTATTTTTCTTTTTAAGATGCATTTATTTTTATTGGAAAGGCAGATATACAGAGAGGAGGAGGAGAGACAGAGAGGAAGATCTTCCCGTCTGATGGTTCACTCCCCAAGTGGCCACAATGGCTGGAGCTGAGCTGATCCAAAGCCAGGAGCTGGGAGCTTCTTCCGGGTCTCCCACGCGGGTGCAGGGTCCCAAGGCTTTGGGCCGTCCTCCACTGCTTTCCCAGGCCACAGGCAGGGAGCTGGATGGGAAGTGGAGCAGCCAGGACTTGAACTGGCGCCCAGGTGGGATCCTGGTGCTTGCACGTGGTTGATTTAGCTTCTAAGCCATTGCGGTCGCCCGTTCTTTCATGGATGATGGTGGTCCATGGTGGCCAAGATTCTTCCTCAGCCGTGACCACTGGTGTGTACCCGGGAGGGGATGAGCACGTGAGCCCCACTGGACGCCCCCACCCGTGGGCGCCGTGTGGGCTTCCAGATGTGCCCAGCTGTGAGTACCCTGGGCTCACCCGCTCCCCGTCCCCAGCAGCAGGCGAAGGGCAGCCGCGTCCACGTGCTCTACTCCACCCCTGCTTGTTACCTGTGGGAACTCAACAAGGCCAACCTCACCTGGTACCCGGGGACCCTGGGGGGAACTGGGAAGGGGGCTGGGATGCCCTGTGGTCCTGGGATCCAACCCTCACGCCCCCTGCAGGTTGGTGAAAGAAGACGACTTCTTCCCGTATGCCGACGGCCCCCACCAGTTCTGGACCGGCTACTTCTCCAGCCGGCCGGCCCTCAAGCGCTACGAGCGTGTCAGCTACAACTTCCTGCAGGTGGATGGGACCCCAGTGTGTGTGTGTGTGTGTGTGTGTGTGTGTGTGTGTGTGTGTGTGTGTGTGTGTGTGTGTCTGGTGGTTACAACTGGGCGGCCCAGCAGGACAGGTGCTCCAACACACCCCTGTTCCCCAGGTGTGCAAACAGCTGGAGGCGCTGGCAGGCCCAGCAGCCAACGTGGGACCCTACGGCCTGGGAGACAGTGCACCCCTCGGTAGGTGTCGGCCTGAGAGGAGATGGGGGTGAAACGCGAATGGAGGTAGAAGCCGACTGGTCCTCGGGGGGGGGGTGCCTTTCTTTGGGTCATCGGTCGGGGCTCACAGTCCCCAGGAGACCCCTGCTGATACCCCGGGTGCCCACAGATGAGGCGGTGGCCGTGCTGCAGCACCATGATGCCATCACCGGCACCTCTCGGCAGCATGTGGCGGAGGACTACGCACGCCAGCTGGCCGCAGGAACAGGACCGTGCCAGGCATGTGGGGCGGGACCGGTTTCGGGCAGGTGACAGGGTGTGGAGCCAGGGCTGGGACACAGGATGGGTAGGGTAAACTGCGGCCAGAGCCCGGGAGTGGAGGGTCAGGGTTAGGAGGAGGTGGGGGTGGGAACCGGAGGATGATGGAGCCAGGGCCCGTGAGGCAGTGCAGGAGGACCAGGAGTGGGGAAATTCCATGGGGGAGGGAACTGACAAAGATGCTAAGTCCAGTCATGGCTTTGGGGGGCGCCATGTGTGGACAGGGAAAGGGAGGGGCCTGGAAGGGGCATGCCCCAAGCCTGGGAAAGGAGGGCAGTGAAGGTGGCCCCAAAAGGGCTGATGGAGAGGAATGAATAAGCATCTGGGGACCTAGGTACTGGGCGAGTGCATGGAGGGGAGCAGGCAGGTGGGGCAGAGGATGGTCAAGTGTAGGTCTCTGGGCAGAATGCCCAAGCAGGCGCTCACACTAAAGCCACCCATTGGTGTTGCCCTGCCAGGTTCTCCTGAGCAATGCCTTGGCACGGCTCAGCGGCTCCAAGGAGGCCTTCTCCATGTGCCCAGACCTCAACATCAGCGTGTGTGCGCTCAGCCAGAACTCCACACGCGTGAGCCTGCTGGGCTGGGAGGGAGGAAGGACCGCGGCTGGAACCGGGTGGGGGTGGAGGTGACCCCTGATACCTCTTGGGAGGTGGCCAAGAGAAGGAGGTCTTAGCTGATGGGGAGTAGGGGCAGGGTGGACAGGGTGCTGGGGTGATTATTTCAGGCTGTTTTTGTAGAATGAGATTTTGTGGGGTGCAGTCGGGCCAGGGAGGGAGAGAGAGCAGTGCACGCTGAGGGCGCTGGTCCTGGGGGTTGATGACTGAACGAAGGGTGACAGGTGAGTCTGCAGAGAAGCCCCGTCGTGCCCCATGCCATCCCTGATGTCCGTGTCCCAGTTCCAGGTCACCATTTATAACCCCCTCGGCCGGAAGGTGGATCGCATGGTGCGGCTGCCGGTCAGTGAAGGCTCTTTCCTCGTGAAGGACCCCAAGGGTGACACTGTGCCCAGCGATGTGAGTCCCTTAAGTGACTCCTTCCCCCTCGGACACCCACGGGCACCCCTCTCCCTCCTCCTGGTCGCCTTGTGTCCCTGGGGATGTTGTCCTGTTCCCGCCCGTAGCACCAAGCCCTTGGCGCATGAGTGTCCCCTTGCACCATCCCTTCCTGGGCACTGTGTCCTGTCTGTGGAGAGCCCTTGCACCCCGGACGCCTCCCCTACAATCCTTCCCTTCCCTCCTTTGCCTCCCATATCTCTCCCATCCCTTCCTCCTCCCACCCGTGTCTCGCCACACTCCCAATTTGCCCACCCCGTGGATCTCCTCTGTATCCTGGGTTTGCGTGGTCCCACCCCTTCTCCCTCTGTACCCAGATTTTCCCTCCCCACCCCCAGGACACCCGCCCCTCCTTGTGTTTGGTGCCTGTGTGTGATGCGTGGAAAGCCTGTAATGCTTGTAATGCTTAGTGTGTGTGTGTGTGTGTGTGTGTGTGTGTGTGTGTGTGTGCGCTCATGGCCTCTGGACTCAGTTTCCCTTCTTCCTCGCCCCAGGTGCTGCAGCTCCCCCAAGCAGTTGGAGACACGCCCAGACCAGAGCTGCTGTTCTCAGCCTCCGTGCCAGCCTTGGGCTTCAGCACCTATTCAGTAGCCCGAGTGTCCTCCCGGAACCCCCAGGCCCGTACCCCCCAGCCCATCCCCAAGAAGACCGCATCAGTGGCCTTGGTCATCCAAAATGAGGTGAGACCCCGTTTTGATCCTTTGTCCTGCTCCGGTGACTAACGGAGGCGTCCTGGTGGGTAGCGTGGGCTTCAGGCTGGCTGTTCCTGGCTTGAGGTCCCCTCCGTGCCCTGATGGTGTGACCTTGAGAGATGACCTTTATCTGAAGTTCATTGTTCTCTCCCGGGCCTGGCGTGAGGACCCAGGTGATCAAAGCTGACCCTTGATGTTAAAGCTGACGTCACGTAGAGCTCTGCCGGTTTGTGCGTGTGTGTGTGTTCTTTAACCACCGCGCTGTCGTGCCGGGCCCACGTGTGTGCGTTCTTAAAGAATGTTTCAAAGGCAGAGAGAGCGTAAGGGAGGGGAAGACAGGAGAGAGAGCCCACGTCGCCTGGTTCACTCCCAGACAAATGCGTTAGCTGGACCCAGGTTGGCGATCAGAGCTGGAAACTCCATCTGGGTCTCCCATGTGGCTGGCAAGGCCCAACCCTTTGGTCCGTCACTGCTGCCTCCCGGGCTGTGCCTTGAAGGAGAGCTAAGTCAGGGGGCAGAGCCAGGAGTTGGACCGAGGTGCTCTCCTGTGGGATGCGGGCGTCTGCAGGGCCAGGCAGGTGTGTAGCCAGCAGGGAGTGCGTTCCTGATGAGGCAGAAGGTGAAGGAAGACCTGAAAGAGGGAGCCCTTAGCTTCCTTGGGAGAAGGGGATTGTGGGTAGGCAGAGCAACCTGTTCTGGGTTCAAGGAAGCCCAGGGAACCTGCCATGGGCGACCTACAAGGAGGAGGGAACAGGCCAAGCTGACTGGGCCTTGGTGACCAAGAGGAAGATTCTGGAATTACAGGCAGGATATGGCTGCAGAAAGACTGTCCTGATGAACAAGAAAAGACTGTGAGAGCCAGCTCCATCAACGTGTTGAGAAGTGTACTTCATCATGGAGAAGATCTTATTTTTTATTGAAAGTTAGATTTACAGGGATAAAGAGAGAGAAAAATCTTCTGGCCGTTGGTTCATTCCCCGAATGGCCACAATAGCTGGAGCTGAGCTGATCCAAAGCCAGGAGCTTCTTCCGGGTCTCCCACGCGGGTGCAGGGTCCCAAGGCTTTGGGCCGTCCTCCACTGCTTTCCCAGGCCACAAGCAGGGAGCTGGATGGGAAGTGGAGCAGCCGGGACATGAATTGGTACCCACATGGGATCTTGGTGCTTGCAAGGCAAGGACGTTAGCCACTAGGCTACCATGCTGGGCCCTGTCTTTAGATTCTAACAGCGATGAGCACGTGGTGCTGAGAGCAGCATCCATGTGTCAGATGCCCAAGCCGCCTCTGGGCTGAAGCGGCTGGGAGTGTCATTGGAGTTGGGCTGTCCCATGTGTCCTTAGGCTGTGGTGGGCACCCAGTGTGGGAACATAGAAGTGGGGTCCTGGAGGGGGGGGGGTGCGTGACTCCTGGGGGGGGCCATGGATGAGGAAGGCAGAGCTGCCGGGGCGCCCCAGTGGGGTCGAGTGGGAGGAAGGCAGAGCTGCCGGGGGTGCCCCAGTGGGGTCGAGTGGGAGGAGCAGGGCTGAGAGGAGGAGGGTTCTGAGCACCGGGAGGGATGGGGCTGCCGTGCGTTGAGGCTGGGGTCCGTCACGTGTGTCCCCCGTTTCTGCACAGCACATCCGGGCCACTTTCAACCCTGAGACAGGACTGCTGATGCAGATTGAGAACATAGAGCAGAAACTCGTGCTGCCCGTGAGCCAGTCTTTCTTCTGGTGAGGAGGGATCGCCAGGCTGGGGGTGGCAGTTCGTGCAGCTGGAGCCCCTTCCCCGACTCTCTCCTGTCCCCGCAGGTATAACGCCAGCACGGGCGACAAGAGCAGCAGTCAGGCGTCGGGGGCCTATATCTTTAGAACCTCTGAGCTGAAGCCGCTGCCTGTGAGCCGCTGGGCTCAGACCCGCCTGCTGAAGGTCCGGGGTCAGGAATGCCGAGGAGTGGGCGTTGGGGACGCGGAGTGCGGGTGTGCAGAGGCAGGGGTGAGGTGGAGAGAGGAGAGAATGCAGCTGTGCGATCTAAGGGGCTCTGTGGAAGATGTCCATGGCTGCCTTCGAAGGTATTCACCCCTGCGTGGGCCTTAGCATTCACCCCTGCCGTGGGCCTTAGCATTCACTCCTGCGTGGGCCTTAACATTCACCCCTACCGTGGGCCTTAGCATTCACCTGCCGTGCTTACATTCGCCCTGCCGTGGGCCTTAGCATTCACCCCTGCGTGGGCCTTAGCATTCACCCCTGCCGTGGGCCTTAGCATTCACCCCTGCCGTGTGCGTTAACATTCGCCCCTGCCGTGGACCTTAGCATTCACCCCTGCGTGGGCCTTAGCATTCACCCCTGCCGTGGGCCTTAGCATTCACCCCTGCCTTGGGCGTTAGCATTCACCCCTGCCGTGGGCCTTAGCATTCGCCCCTGCCGTGGGCCTTAGCATGACCTTAAGCCAGGGCTGGATGAGCCCAGCACACGGACTCCCACACTGCCCGTGACAGGTGCAGGGGACACTGGGAGTGGGCCGTTTAGTGTAGGTGTCTGGTGGGAATGGGCCGTTCCCGGCCTGTCCTCCGTGTCCCCTCCTGGAGGGAGGGCCGACAGTGGCAGGACCTGCCTCCGCGTGGCTCCTGGAGCCGGATGTTGGCTGCTGTTCCTCTCGAGGCCCAGGGCTTCCTGTCCAGGTCATCGAGGCAGGAGCTGGTTTGGATTATTATAACTGATTACCCACATTAATTGTGTCTATACAACATGGAGGATTTTTTTTTTTTCCGCCTAAAGATGTATTTATTTAAAGACAGAGTTAGACCAAGAAAGAGACAGGGACATCTTCCACCTGCTGGTTCACTCTGCAGATGGCTACCTTGGTCACAGCTGGCCCAGGCCAAAGTTGGAAGGCAGGAGCCTCTTCCGGGTCTCCCACGCGGGTGCAGGGTCCCAAGGCTCTGGGCCGTCCTCCACTGCTTTCCCAGGCCACAAGCTGGGAGCTGGAGGGGAAGTGGAGCCGCCAGGATTAGAACCGGCGCCCACATGGAATGCCAGTGCCTGCGGGTGGAGGATTGGCTGAGTAACAGTCACCCTGGTCCCTGTGTTCTGCTTTCAAGAATTCCATGGCAGTGACGGAGGAGAGTGTGGGCATCCGGGCAGGTGCTGGTGATGGGTGCTTTTTCCTGTGCGTTTAGTGGAGTTGACACTGTTGGCGGGCTCCGCAGGGCTCATGGCTGGTGTGCACCTGCCTGACTCAGCTCTGCCCGAGGCGGGCTCACCCCTGCCCTCTCTCCTCTGCCCTGTGTGTCTGCAGTCGGCCTTGGTACAGGAAGTACACCAGAAATTCTCAGCCTGGTGTTCCCAGGTGGTGCGTCTGTACCCGGGACAGCGGCACTTGGAGCTGGAGTGGACAGTGGGGCCCATCCCCACCGGGTGAGTACATGGGCTGGGACTGGTGCCAGGGGCCAACACGGATTCAAAGAGATTTATTTTAAAATATTCCTATTTTGGAATTGGACTAGGGGGCATGGGGGTTAAGGCTGCCGTCTGCCTCTCATACGGCGGCTGGTTCGAGTCCCGGCTACTCCACTTCCCATTCAGCTCCCCGCCCATGCAGCTGGGAAAGCAGTGGAGGACGGCCCAAGTGCTTGGACCCTGTACCCATGTGGGAGACCCGGAAGAATCTCCTGGCTCCTAGCTCCAGCCTCATCTAGCTCCAGCCTTTGTGGCCGTTTGGAGAGTGAATCAGCTGATAGGAAATCTTTCTCTCTAACTCTCTCTTTCAAATACATATAAATCATTACACAAAAGCAAAGAAAAAAAAATGGAGCTAGAGAGACTGACAGCTTCCTTGCAGTGGTTCCTTCCAAGAGAGTGAGACACGACCCTCTGTGTTAGTTCACTCTCCCAGTGTGTCCAGCGAACTGGCCAGGTGAGGGTTGGGAACTAGGAACCCCGGGGCTGGGTCTCCCGTGTGAGTGGCAGGGCCACAGGGCACAGGAGGAGGAGGCACAGCTGGCACCGAGATGCCCCCCGAATGAGGCTGGAGGCATCCCTGCTGGGACCAGCAGAGCTGAGACGGGGGCTCACACGCTCGCTGTCCCACTGGGTGCAGTGACAACTGGGGGAAAGAGGTTATCAGTCGTTTTGACACGCCGCTGGACACCAAGGGTTACTTCTACACGGACAGCAACGGCCGGGAGATCCTGACGAGGAGGTGAGAGGGGCGTCAGGGTACCCGAGGGAACAGACCGGGAGGTGCTGGGGTCCCCCAGGGGGGCAGGGGAAGGGCATCGGGTGACGGTGTGACTCTGTGGGTGGGGAAGGAAGAGTGTGCCCGCTGGTCCCCAAGGATGACCAAGTGTCCTCCGTGCCCAGGCGGAACTATCGGCCCACGTGGAACTTGAACCAGACGGAGCCCGTGGCCGGGAACTATTATCCAGTCAGCAGCCGCATTTACATCACGGTACCCTCCCCTAACCCACGCTGGTACAGTACGGGAGCACGCCTCATGGTCAAGGTGTGCCCCCCTCGGCCCCTCACGCTCTCCCACCCCGGCTCCCCTAGGATGGGGAGAAGCAGCTGACGGTGCTGACCGACCGCTCTCAGGGGGGCAGCAGCCTGCAGGACGGGTCGCTGGAGCTCATGGTGCGTGCGTGTGTGTGTGCATCAGGGGGTCTGCAGCCAAGCTGGGGGGGTCCTCCCTCAGGACCCATGCTGTGGGATGGCGGGCAGGGCCACGCGCTGCGCTCTCACCGTCTGCCTGCCACGCTCCCGCAGGTGCACCGCAAGCTACTACATGACGACAGCCGTGGAGTCGGGGAGGCGCTGCTGGAGGAGGGCTCGGGGTCCAGGGTGCGAGGTCGCCATCTCGTGCTGCTGGATGCGGTGGACGAGGCGGCCGCGGGGCACCGGCTGCAGGCGGAGAAGGAGATCCTGGCACCGCAGCTGGTGTTGGCCCCCGGTGGGGGCGTCCCCTACCACCCCGGAGCGGCTCAGCTCACCGAGGTGAGGGGCCGCCGCGGGCAGATTGGGAATGGAGCCGGCGGAGGGTCCAAGCCGGCTGGAGGACCTCAAGTGGGGGATTGTAGAGCGAGTCTCTTTAGCCCTTCCCTAAGTTCCAGCCACATCAGTTCCACGCTGGGTTTTTTTTTTTTTTTTGCACCTTGGCTTGGTTGAGTCTGGGACCCCCCCGCATCTCAGACGCAGCCCCGCTGCCTCCTGCAGTTCTCAGGGCTGCGCAAGGAACTCCCGCCCTCTGTGCACCTGCTCACCCTGGCCCGCTGGGGCCCGGACAGGTTGCTCATCCGCTTGGAGCACCAGTTCGCCCTCGGGGAGGACTCAGGCCGCAACTTGAGCGCCCCGGTGACTTTAAATCTGCAGGTAAGGAGGGAAGAAGTGGGCAAAGGGCTGGGAGAAGGAAAGAGAGAGATGGGGAAAGCCTTGTTTGCCCACCCCCCCGCTGACCTGGTCGCATCCCGCGTCCCTGCAGGAAATGTTCACCACCTTCACCATCGCCCACCTGCAGGAGACCACGCTGGCGGCCAACCAGCCCCGAGACAGCGCCTCCAGGCTCAAGTGGATCCCAGATACGGGTGGGGACCCGAGCTTGAGAGAGGGGTCAGGCTCCTGCCCAGTGACTGGCAGCTGGGGCAGCGTGGGAGTGGGCAAAGATGCAGGAGGAGGGTCCCGAGCGGATCCCGGCTGGCAGCTCTGAGCGCAAAGTGGGTTGGGCAAACTCGCCACAGGCTGGAGACTCCTAGGTTTCCATGCGCTTGGGTTTTGCTGTCTAGCGGTTCGGGGATACCTGAGGGTGATGCTTGGGCTTAGGGAGACGTGCGGATATCTGAGAGTGAATCCTGGGGATGCGTCTGTGGGTGCTTGCACTGTGTGTTCAGGCCCAGGGGTGAGGAAGACGGCACCCCCTCACGCCTGGTCCTCTCTCGTCCCTCCCCAAGGCCCCGTCCCCAACCCCACAGTGGCCGCGTTGGACCCGGCCGCCATCACGCTGCAGCCCATGGAGATCCGGACCTTTGTGGCCTTGGTCCGGTGGAAGGAGGACGCCTGGGCCCACGGGCAGGCCTCATCGTAGACCTGAGCTCTGCGCCCTGCAGGAGTCGGACCCTCCCCTTTGCTCCTTTGCTGCCGCCCGCCCGCCGCCGATGTCATTAAAGGAGCAGTCCCCAGAGGCAGATCGCCATGTGGCTGGTTGTGGCATCTTTTAGGGGGAGAGCGTGCGTGACGTGGCAAGGCCACCCCGGCCTAGCTAGTGCACATTTTCTGATTTCTTTTTTAAAGATTTATTTTTATTACAAAGTCAGATATGCAGAGAGGAGGAGAGACAGAGAGGAAGATCTTCCGTCCGATGATTCACTCCCCAAGTGAGTACAACGGCCATTGCTATGCCGATCCAAAGCCAGGAGCCTCTTCCGGGTCTCCCACACGCGGGTGCAGGGTCCCAAGGCTTTGGGCCGTCCTCCACTGCTTTCCCAGGCCTCAGGCAGGGAGCTGGATGGGAAGTGGAGCAGCCGGGATTAGAACCGGTGCTCATGTGGGATCCCGGCACGAAGCCTCCAACGTATGCTCAGCGTTAGCCAAAGCCAGGGTCCTGGAACTCGGTCCGGTCTCCCACGAGTGTGACAGGGACCCAAGGACCAGGGCCATCACCAAGCTCGTTCTTAGTTGCATTAACAGTGAATAGGACCGGAAGTGGAGCAACAAGGCCTGGAATAGCTGCTGCTCTGGAAGATGCTTGCCGGTCAGACAGTGGCCTAACCCACTGGGCCACACTGCCTACCCCTCTCCCACACCCCCTCTCCAGCCGTGCCTTCGCAGGAAGGTCCTTGCTGGCCAGTGCACGCAGCAGCCGCCTGTCTGTTGCATCCCCCAGCCTCTCGCGTCTCTCCTCTCTCACCTCCTTTCTTCTCGGAAGACAGGGGCTTCCTGTCTGGAGGGCCAGTGTGGGGCAAAGTCAGCAGCGGGCTCACCTCCTGGAAATTTTCCTAAACCCATCTCCGGTCAAGGTCTGCCTGGGACCAGACAAGAAGGATTGCAGGGTACCCCCCACCCCTGCAGACCTACCTGCAACTACCCCCCCCACCTCCCCGCTGGTGCCTCGCTGAAGATGTGCCAAGTTTTGCTTTTCTCAAAAAGCAGAATTTTCCATTCACTGGTTCCTTCCCCCCCAAATGGGCTGAGATGGGGGCGAAGGACGATCCAGGAACTCTCCACCCTTACGGCCCACATGATTGGCAGGGAACCAAGCACCTGCACCCTCCTCTTGCTGCCTTCCCCGGGTGCAGTAGCAGGGAGCCGGATCCGAAGTGGAGCGGCTGGACTGGAGCAGGCACGCCAGCATGGCAGGCTGGCTTGTGGAAGCAGTGGTTTCACGGGCTGTGCCACGGCCCCAGTCCCAAGGAAAGGAAGTCCTCCTTTGCAGTGGTTGTTTTTTTTTTTTTTTTTTAAATTACTTTATTTTGACAATCTTTGCATAGTTGATCAGGGCACAAAGGGTCAAGGGTTACAGGAAAGTGGGTAAGACCATTGTTTCCGTATTATTACTATTTTCTGTATCTGGGGCAAAGGGGGAGATAAAGGGAGAAGCCCCACCCAGCCTCCCACCCATCCCAGGTCCCCGACGTGGGGCATGCTCCGAGGGTCCTGCTCGAGTGGTTTCGATAGTTCAACAGTTCTGAATTGCTGCCAGCCTCGCCATTCCAAGCACGATGAAGTTGCCGCAGAATCCACTGGCTGACATGGTCCACCTTAGAGTCTCCGTTCGCCCAGATTTTCACTGCCAACACATGGCTGGGTAGTTGATTGATTTATTCTGTCCTCTGTTGTGGTGCCAGGTGCCCTCTGCAGGTTCCGATGGGCTGCCCTATCCTCCATGGGCACCTGGCTATGCTGTCCACTGCTCCGTCTGAGCCTCTTGAGGAGGCTCGGCTCTGGCACTTGCACTCCATGGTCAGACCATGGAACCTGCACTTCTCTGCATGGTTGGGGTTCTGAGTCCAGCAGTTCAGTTGGAGGGATCCCCAAAGAAACTCTGAGGTGATCCCAGACCAGATTCTTGAGTGTGCATGCCAGCACAGGGCCTGGCACAGTCCCTCGCCCCGATCAGCTGGTTGTTGCAAGTGCTGGGTCAGTTCTGTTTCCAGCCCTGTCTTCCACACGAACCCATGGGTGTGTTGCAGTCCAGCCTGATTCTGCCCAGCACACACTCAGCCCTCACGCAAACCAGTGGGAGCTGCAGCCTGGTTGGGGCGACTCCCCATAACCCCCACCATGCCCGCGCCCTGCCCTGGTTCCCGTGCTTGCCAGTATGTGCAGCAGTCTAGTCCAGTCTGTCCCACATCCCATTGAGCTCTCATACGTGTCAATGGGCATTGAAGCCTAGTTCAACCCAACCAGGCCCACTATCCAGCTCACGCACATGCTGGTGGGTGCCTTTCTGTCCAGCCACCCTGCCCCAGTCCTGGTTTTCATGCCCTCCAGTGGGAGTGGTAACCCAAGAGGGAGGTGCCCACTGTTTCCCTACCAGGCCTCTCCCACTCCCGGATTATGCACTCTCCAGCTGGTTCTGCAGTTTAACTTGACAGAATTAGCCCCCAGTGCCAGCCTCTGCCCGCTGATGCTGGCACAAAGCCCAACCAACCCTCACCCACTCTAATTTATGCTTGTACCAGTAGGAACAGTCAGCCCAGCCTGGCTTTTCCCTGATCCAGCTCACATGAGGCACACAGGTGTTGTAGCCCTGCGTGGTCTGGTCTGCCCCCATCCCAGCTCAGGCTCTCCAGGGGCAGTGGCTGTCCAGCAGGGGGTCCACACTCCCGCTGCTGGCTCTACCTTAGGCTCTGGTCTGAGAAGATTCCTCAGTTGCAAACAGAGGCCAGCAGATGGCGCTCGAGACTCAGGGGTGAAGTGGGAGGAAGGAAGTGGCCCTGGATGGTTAGGGTTTAAGGGTCCCTGATGGCCCTTCCCTGGCTGGCTTTGCCCTTGCTGCTGGGTTTGGAATGCCAGCGTTCCCACACAGCTGGCAGGCATTGGGTAGGATTTGGCTCCAAGCTCGTGTTGATTTTTCTTTTTTTATTTAAGCAGTTATTTATTTTTATTGCAAAGTCAGATCTACAGAGAGGAGGAGAGACAGAGAGGAAGATCTTCCATCCGATGATTCACTCCCCAAGTGAGTGCAACGGCCGATGCTATGCCGATCCGAAGCCAGGAGCCAGGAACTTCTTCTGGGTCTCCCACTCAGATGCAGGAACCCAAAGCATTGGGCTTTCATCCTTGACTGCTTTCCCAGGCCACAAGCAGGGAGCTGGATGGGAAGTGGAGCAGCCAGGATTAGAACCGGCGCCCCTATGGGATCCCGGCACGTTCAAGGCTGAGGACTTTAGCCGCAAGCCACGCTGCCGGGCCCAGGATAGCAGATTTCCACAGAGGACACACAAGGAGAAAAATATTCTGCTTAAAGCTGTCCAGCTTTCAATATTAAGATGTGAAAAATATACCCAGCATTCTAGAATTCTCTCAGATACCTGCATGGGCGTGACCCTTTTCAACGTATCCCTTTGTTGGAGCATCTTGGGGAAAATATCTTCTTTTTGTAAATTTGCCTTCCCAATAAGAAATAAACCAAATAAATGTGACTTGTGCTTGTATGGTAACTGGAAATGAGATGTATGTGGGTAATTCTGCATGCAGGATTCATGAGCAATTTTTGCACCAGGTAAAATTGTGCAGTTGTCTCCTCCTCTTCCTCTGGCCTTAGGGGGAATTTCAAGCGAGAATGTGGCTGCATGATCTAACCCCACTCCGTTCATGGCCACCGGGCGATTCAAGTGGTTCCTTGACAAGCTCTCTGGCCCACATCTCAGGGGGACGCCTCCCTGGGTATTGCTACCCGTGGAGTTGGATGACAAGATGGCACCTGGGGCTGATGAGAAGGACGCGCAAAAAACATGTTTTCAAACTCGTGTTTTCCACCTGGACAGGAGCCCTCACCCGCACGGCTCCAGGGCCAGGAGGGCTATGCATTCCTCCAGGGAGTCTGTGAGCCGTCAGCTGCAAGAGTATTAGAGTGGCCCCCCCCACACACGCTCTCTCACACACACAGGCTGTACGCATGCACCTGCCTGCCCCTGCCTGCCCCTGCCTGTTCCCCGGTCCTGCCTCTTGGCACTTTGCTGCACAAAATCCCAGATGCTTCCTCTGCTGTTGCTCCTTCTCATCCTGCAGCTTCCCTGCGCTGTGTGCCGGCTGCAAGACCTCGACTGCTTTGATGTCAACGACCGCCGTGATTCCAAGGACGGAGACGTGCTGCTTACTGCTTTCTTGCCCGTCTGTTTATACTCCATATCCAAGCTCCCCACCCAGCATGAAGACCGCCTCCATTTCCGAAGGTAAGCATCCATTGAGTTCCCCCCCCCCTTTTTTTTCCCCTCGGAGGTCCCGGTGGTTAACTGTCAGGTCCCTGCAGGTGGTGAGATCAACGCACTAGGTGTGCCTGCGTGGGCTATGCCTAGCCTCCTGCTCCGATGTGTGGTGACCTCAGCTGGGGTCTCATGAACACAGTGCCCCTTGGTCCATGTCTCTGAGGTGTTGAGTAAACAGTTCTGCGTGGTCCAGGAGGGACAGCTTCCTGGCCGCTGCACTCCAAGGACCTCAGCCCAGGGCTTTCCCAGCTCTGCCTTGGCACCACATGCCCTTAATCACCCAGCTCCTCCACGCAGGATGCACCACGTTTCTACTCAGCGCTACATACTGAAGAACTCACTTGGGGTTACCTTGACTGGGGAACAAAAGCTGTTTGCTCAGGTGCTGGCTGGGAGCAGACCTGGGAGTTGGGGATGTTGGTGCTGGCTGGTGTGCTCACAGCCCCTGCCATCTCTTTGCCCTGGGAAACAATGGGTGCACGGTTGTGAGTGAACTCAGAGCCACGGAGAACCCAACACACTCAGGAACAATGAGTCGAATGAGTAAGAAATGGCCGTGACCCTCACCTTTCACAGCGGCACGGCTTGGGCAATCTTTCCCCAAGAGGACGGTTTGACAGTCTGAGGGAGCAGCCGATGTGTTTCTGGCCGCAGGAGACCTGTCCACTGCAGGTGGACCTCCACCTCTGCCAGCCAAAACACCAAGCTGTGTTTATGGAGGGAGGAACGCGGGGGACCTTCCTTCATGGGGTAGA